TGTTCACATGTCCATTAGAATGGTGATTTAGAAGATCAGCTATTAAAATTACTGTTTTCATTTTACAGCCTGAAATTTCATTATCGCAGTGTCACATTCTAAGGTTAAAATCATGGATCCCTTTTTGTGACCTTCATATAGGGCATTCAGCATGTGCACAGATGTTGGTTTGAATGTAACCAGAATCATCTGCTTCAATAAAACAGTGGACATACGGACACAGTGTCACTAATGCCTTGAAAGGCACACTCAGGATGTTTTTTTATTGCTTCATTTGGCACACTACAGTCCCACCTCCCATTACGGTTGCCATGTGATTTATGTTGTGCTCTTTGGAGAGTGAGACAGACGGGAGCTGGGAGTGAAAATACTGTGATAGCTTTGTTTACCTTGATCTTGACTGCCTTTTATTTCTTCTTGGACATTGACAGCAAGGAGCAAAGGCTTTAAAAACTCTCTTAGGCCTCATATTTTCACATTTATAAATGCTGTTTCCTATTTAGAAAATGCAGGTTGTTGCAAATGCAGTGTCAAACCATAAAGACTTTCAAAACCTTTTTACATATACAGACAGATTTTGCAAGTTCTTTCTAATAATCCACTACGTGATCCCTTTACAGTTGATTACTGAGTAAATAAGCAATAATCATAATAGCAGGGGAGTCTTTTGTTCAGTGGAATAAAAAAGATATCCGTTACTCTGAAGCAATTATTTTAGCAAGCTATGTAGCAGCAGTGTGCTCGTGTTTGATTTTTACAGTTGTTTCCTGTTGGATAATTGAACCTGATTTATATTCTCAGTATTTTTTCCCACTCTTTATATGGCTTACGCACCTTTTCATAAAATTAACTGACGGACTGAGTTGGTGAATTCCTGTAAGACTTGTGTGCCAGTCTAAAGCCAAGTGAAATTGCATAGGAAAGCCTTATTTCAAATGCTATTTTAAATGCATGTTCTGCAAAGTATCAACAATTTTTACATCTTTTTGTTATATGCTCACAATATCTCAGTTTATCATAAACAAATAATCATTTTGCACCATTGCTGAAGGAATTATTACAACGATTAAGTATAGAGGATGTGGTTTTCAATAACAAAACAACAGTGTACATGTGACTGTTTGTAATAAGAGTTGGCTTACCTTACAAAATAAAGACATGCATATGTTTGGAATGTTAAGGATAATTAGGCAATGAACAGGCATACTGTATCTTTAATTTTTACAGTTGCCCTCATTAATTGTAAGTTAATGTTGTAAAATATACTGCTTTAACAATCATTTCACAATGGGGAAAAAATAAGTAATTGGATGGCGTTCTCCCTGTCCTAGCCAACAACAGATTAATAGCATCTGAGGTGCATGAAATTATTTGTTCTTTTCTCTCTCTTTACCCCCTCTCTTCCTCTTTCTCTGTATGCGTCTAATTAAAAACTGCAGGCACAGCTACACAGTTTATTGCCAGTGCTTGCTGTTGATGGGGCAGCAGAAGGCAGGAGCTCAGGGAATGTGTTTTTGATGGATGTCAGACTGTGTAGAACATGTGGGACTCCTGTTTCGGCTTCACGTCCCAGCGCTAGATCACTCCTCACGATAATGATCCGCATGCACAGTGTGAAGGACAAATGTATCATTTGAATCGTTTGTCATGCTAAGGCCTCATGCCATTCGTCAGAGTCAATTTGCCACCTTAACTATGACTGTTTCCCATGTGGTATTCTATACTTGTTAAAAACAGTCAAACAGCCCTTTTTTGGCACAGGTAAAACAAGGGCTTCTTGTTTTGTCTGTTCCAAGCAAAATTATAATAAAATCCCTGTGCCTTTTTTTTTTTTCTCCTTTTTTTTCCCCCTCATGCATTTCTCAAGAGCAAAAAGTGGATTATTATGCTGTTAGTAGGAGCTCGGGTGGATCTTTTTGCTGACCACACAGACTTTCTGGTGGTGGTGATGGTGGTTTGAGGTGTGTCATCGTAATGACAAGTGCTGCAGTGTCACAGAGCAGTCTGTTCTGGGTTTGTCTCCACTGGTCAGTTTTGTCAACAAGTTTCTCCATAATTGTCTTATTTATCCACACCCACAAGTTTTGTATGAGCTGTTTGTTCTTTATGCCAACTTGACCCTTACTGATGAACACAACATCTGTAGAGCACATGGATTGTTTTGTCTCTCACTATGCCAATAAAAAAAGGGGTCATTGCAAACCTGAGGTGAATAGTAACCTTGCTCTTGCAGACTATTGATAATGTAGCAGTGCAGTTTTTTGTTTTTTATGTACCGACTACACAGTTCCTCTGTCATGATGCCATGCTTAACATATAACATATACCAGTAATGTTTTAGCAGGTTTATATATAGAATATTTTAGATTGGGCATCATAGTAATTTAGTTAATTATAATAATCACCTTATTCCGATGTCTAGACTGCAGCCAAATGAGTGGTGTCGCACATGTACTATTTTCATTGCTTCACACCTATCACAAGCAAAAAATTTCTCAGTACTGTCATTTATGCAAAATATAATTTTGTCACTGTAGTGTCAGTTAAATTAAATAATCAGTCACAGTTGATTTATTTCTATTACTTTTCGAGGAGAAAAGCTTCTCTGGAAGCCAAGAAGTGTTTTTTCAGATGATTGATATATTTTTGTACTGTATGATTATCAGACCAAGCAGGCAATCTTTTGCCTCAAACATACTTATCTGCCTTACTGTATGAGTAATATACTGGAGATGGTGCCATGTGCACCTGATGTAGGTTAGGCGTCTTAGCTGGTGGTATTGGTCACACATGGCGCTTTATCATTCTTCGGGTGGAGTGGGAGTCGACGCAGGGAACCATAACTTGTATTTAGACGACATGGGTGGAATGAGGAACTGACTGAAACTAATAGGAGTATGGACTTCCAACTGATCTGTGGGTGTACCACTGCACTTGTTATGTACCTACAGTGACTGCTGACATTCTCACATAAAGGTCTGCACAGCATCTCCACATTTTATGTGTGTACATATACTTGGGGTAGGCTAAGAAAAGCTTCACATAACTGGCTTTAATTTATTCTCTACTAATTTCAGCCACTCTCTTCACTTGAAGGTTTCAATCACTCTTGGCTTTTACATTTCCCTATACCCCATGTTAAAAAAAAAACAAACCCCAAGAACAAACATTCACAAGAAATGTATTGTGCTGAAGCAAAGGATGGCACGTTAATGTCTTAGAAGATGGATTTAACATTGTGAGCTGATGCTAATTAGAAGGGGACCAGAAATGTTTTGTTTTCTTTTACATACCCATTCCACATTCTTCATAGATGGGTAAAGAAAATGTAGAGCACCTTTGTTTTGTTCAGCTCTGTCTCTGGTTAAATGGTTTTCAGGCTGTTGGTTACCTTTTTTGTCTCTAGAGTGTGCCTTCCATTAGCTGAAAACGACACTGTCTCTGCAGTTAGATTACTGCTGATCCATGCTGTTGACTGTTACTGATTTATATTTGTTAGCAGCAGCCATCTGTTGTGCAAAAGTAACATGTAAATAAGGAGTACATGAAGTAAATGCTTTAATATATTTATGTAATTTATATATGCATATATATGTTTTATGTTTGATTTTATGTTTTCTTTGCTATTTGCATTTAGTTAGTGAACCAATTGAAATTATCTGCGTCCATGGAACTTGGTGTTTTTATTTATCTATCCATTTTTGGTACTGCGTGTCATCTCTGGCACTCACACTTAAACCAAATTCACTGTATGGATTTTAAAGGTATGTCATAAAAAAAACAAACAGAATATTGTACTCGCTGCTGTATTGAGGGAAAACACAGGTTAATTCTGCACTACAAAAATTCCTAGTAACAAACAGTATCTGCAGCATGTTGCAGTAACATGAAGAAACAAAGTAATTAAAATCTACTGTTGAGTATTTATAGTAAAACTGCTCAGAATCAACTATAATGTTGAATTTTATATTTTACTTAAACAAGCAATTCATAGGTAATTGGTGGAGAGAATTGTTTTCATTAGCATACTAAACATCATAGAATGAAGGGAAAAGTATAATGTAGCGAGGTCAAAGTAAATGTTTCTTCCCCCCTAATAATGCTTTATAAATATGGAAGCGCCTTTGTTCTACACAAACTCGCAGCCAGCCATTGTAGCGAGCGTCGTCCTTTCCAATGAAGCATGGCTGAAGCTTTCTTGTCATTTATCTCTCATCAGTGCTGTTCCTGGTGACGGATGATACTTGATATTCAGAGGGTCGCTTTGTCTCCTTAAATTAATCAGATGCGCCTGAGAACCACCAGGGAGAAATCGTTGGTGTAATGTAAAATACCGTAACAAAGGCTGGCTGTAAAACACAATATGCAAGTATGTATTAAAAAGATTTTAATGGAAAATCCATGCTCTTTGTGAATCTCTGTGGTGTGATTTGGATGATAGGCAGGGAGGGGGGGGTAACAAAAGTCTATGGGTCATGAGAGAAAACTGTAGAGATTACTTTACCACTCTTTTATTCATCTGTATGGACTTGATGTAAAGGTTATAGAAGGGAAACTGAAAATGGGTTTCCTAAGAGGCTAAAAAATTCAATTTTCTCTCATGATCACAGTTTATATTGCACTAGTTTCACATTAAAGAGCTTTGAAGACCTTTTCAATATGAATGACTTGTCACAAGTATAGTCTAGGCCTGTGTCTGCTTGCAAATGGATTATGTGCCAAGATTTGACTTAATGATACGTCACTGTTAAGGTATCAGAATGCAAATGCAAATTATTTACTGATGTAAGGAATTATGTTCCATTTTAATGTATTGCATGGGACAAAACTCTCAAACATATATAGTAATAATTTTAGTCTAGTGTTCTAATTTATTTAAGGTGATGTGGTAATTCTGTCTATACAGTCTTATAAGAGTCTCAGTGGTATGTTGGCCATAAGTAGGTTTTTCTCCTTTGTTTTTCTTTTGTATCTTATGTTGACTAAATTGTGTTTGACAGATATGGAGTCTGGTAGACCCCTGGCTTCATCACCTGAACCGTTCTTCCTTCATATGGCCTCATCTAAAGCCAGCTCATCCCCTGCTCCACCCCAGAAACTCCACACCAAGTCCAGAGCGACCCCTAGTCCTATAGTCAGCTCTCCCGTCACCATTTCTGGTATGTATAGACAGTATAGAGAAAACTTTACATTAGACTTAGATGTGCTCAAAGTAATAGCACAAGGTTACAGTTAGTAAGACTTTCAACATTCATTCAAGTGGTTTAGGAAAAGTATTGCATTAGCTGTGTGTGTAAAAAAAACAAAAAAAAACAAAAAAAACAAAAAAAAACAAACAAAAAAAACAAAAAAAACAATTGCCTTACAGAACAGTTTCATGGCCAGATGAGGCCTGTGTCCCTTACAGTTCTACGACAAATCAAGGAGATAAAACATGTGGAGTCGATTTTGCATTTGGTAGACGTTCACTGAAACTCTCTTTATATCCAAAAAGATGTCACTGCACGTGAAGGAGGCCATCATTAAGCAGGAAGATCAAAATAAACCAGATAAATCAAAGAGAGAGCAATTTTACAAGTGACCAGATCAGAAAAGAAAGGAAGCATTTGCTGGCTTAGCAACACCAAAGGCCATAGAAGATAATTAAAGTACATGTTCACAGAATTATTTCCATGGTTAAGAAAAACCATGGAAACAAACTGCTCTTTATACAGAAAGACAAAATTATAAACATCTTAAAATATGTAAAACACCTTACCCAGTCCTGGTTAACAACAAGAAAAGAAAACTTTGGCTAGATGAAACCAGATGGAAGTATAAAAAGTAGGGAGAAGGAGAGAAACTGCTCCTGATCCGAAGCATAACAGCATAGACTTAAAACATGGTCTAACATGATGGAAGCAATGTAATGGCATGGGCATGTTTGGCTACCAGTGGAACAGAATTACTAATCTTTGTTAATGATGTGACTGCTGATAGAAGTACCAGGATAAATTATGAAATGTACAGGGCTATACTCTCTGCTCAGATCCTGCAAAATTGAATGAACAACATTTCACAGGGCAAATGGACCCAATGTAAACTACGAAAGCAATGCAAATGTTTCTTAAGGCAAATAAATGGAATATTCTTCAATGACCAAGTCAATCACCCGATATTAATCTAATAGAAGATCCTTTTCAGTTACTTAAGACAAAACTGAAGGCTAAGAGATCCACAATCGTGGTAGCCAAAGGCAGAAGATTTCAAGGCAGGAAAAGATCAGCATCTTTTTCCTCAGCATCAGGCAGTAATTGACTGCAAAGGAGTTTCATCCAAGTACTGAAAACAATTCTTGTTTACAATTGTTAGTTTGTGTAATTCCTTCTGAATCTATGTTTATTTTTATTTCAACTATGTATAAAAATTTCTGAAATTGTCAATGCAGTACTTTTGTTAACCCCCTTGAATTAAAGGTTAAAGGCTTACAGACTGGAGCGTAGATCTTAATTAGATCACTCTCAGATCTTAATTAATTATTTATTCAGTTATTCTACTCATATTTCAGACAGAGTAAAAATATATAATAGAGAGGTTGAAGTTCAATAGTGCAGTGCTGCACGCAGAACCCGCAGTCTTCAGTTCACTAGCTATGAATATAAATTTTAAACGTATCCATCATTCTGACTGACTTTTCAGACAGTCCACAAATTATAAATGCAAATTTATTTAAAGGAGCCATCCAGCTAAATTCTGCAGAAGAACTGAATTCAAATTTCACAATGCAGTCGAGGATTTAAGGCACCTTTCCTCCAGTCTTTAACGTGTTATAGTTTTGATAGAAATGAAAAGGCCATGGAATTAATGAATGTCAACAGTTAAAAAGCTGTGTGTGTCCTTGTGGATTTCTTTTGACAACTTTTAGTTCCCGTTTATTTTGTGTGATTTGACACGTCTGTCGGCCTCACACTGTGCGTGCAGCCACCAACATCTCTTGGTTTCTCTGAATACTAATTGTGGCCAAAGCTATTATTAAGCAACAGTGATGCGTAAGCTGTCAGATGCCCCGTGACCGCAAAATAATGTGCAAATTTACATATCTTGGTTTGTAATTATTTTTTCTTTCATGATAAGATGCCCGCAAAACCAGTTGTGGCTTTGGTGGGTTTTTTTTGTGCGTGTGTGTCATGCTATCACCATGCTATCACAATAAAGAACAGACACTCTCATAAATAATTCATTTTTACATCCTTACACTCAACGTGCATAGAAATTTCCCAGATAATTTATTTTGCACTGAGCAGTAAATGCTGAAAGCGCACTCACACCTCTGTAGTCACATCATTGTTAAGAGTATTAACTAAATTGAGTTCCTTCAAAGATTTCTCATCCCCTTTGGGAGGTATGTATCACAAGCCCACTGATGACAACACTCCTTTGAGCAGAATTATAGTCGAGCATTCCTAAGTTTGTGAGCTTATCTCTGAACTGTTTTATTCAGCACCACCTATTATATTTAACAGTGGAAGAGCAAGTGTCTGATTCAATACTGATATCTAAGAAAATTGCCCTATTTTGGTCATTTTTTACATTTTTAATCTGGTGAAATATTTTATCACTTTGTTGACATATGAAGTCCGAAGCTTAAGACCAAAGAATAAAGGTGTTTTTATGTTATTCAACTAACCAGAAATAAAATTTCTCTCTCTTGATTAATGGAAGTTTGTTCCTGTCTCTGATAACACTTATTAGGCCACTGTCAGTATTCACTGTACTACAAGGTTCTGTTCTTTGTCCTCTTATTTATTTATTTATTTATTTTCAGTCTACACTTAACTAAATACTGAGAGGCTAATTCTGATTTAAGAAAAAGGGAGTTTGTTATTCATGCTTGTGTCAGTCCCAAAGGTGCGCAAAGCCCTAGTTCATTTTCTGAGGCTCTAAGCGATTCTTTAAATCGCTTGTGACCAGATACAGACTCTGGACCAGCAGCTCCTGTGTTTAATTTGATCCTGCTTTTTTCCAGCTTAGGTCTGTTGCAACGCAAGCAGAGATGATGATTAGTCATCCTTTTATTTTAACTCTCTAGTCACTCGTTTTAGTAAGTCAGTGGCTAAAATTCAAAAGTAAATTCAAGTTATTTTTTGTCTTTTATTTAATACGATCTCTGTCTATTGGATATTTTTCTTTTAAATGTCATCATGAAGCCCATTGTGATGTGTGATAATACATTCTTTATTTAACAATATAGTCACTGTATTGGGAATATATTGTATCAACATGTAGGCGTGTAAAGATTTGATAGGAAGCTGGATGGTGATCAGTAGATTCAGTGATTCTTATAACTGTTTACTTTGCTCTCCAGGTCATTCGCTGCGAATAATGGAGGATGACTGTGTAAATATGTCTGTCAGCCCCAATGGTTTGAATTTAGCCAACTCTCCTGTCGCGCTCAACGCATCAAGTTCAAGCTGCTCTGAGTTTGGAGGCCTAGGATGTCTCGGTTTGTCTGCCTTGGCTGCTCCATCACAGCTTGGTACTTTTCCAGGTAATGATGCTTAAGATACTTATATATTTCATATTTTTCTTATTTTGATAATGGATGTGAATCTAGTGAATACTGTGAAATAGGGCTGTTATTAAGTTAAATCCAGTTCTCCACTAGTTCACTAACAGATTATTAATGCCTAACTGTACAATGTCTTTCTCTCGCACTCAGATTGGTGGCGGACATCTGAGACACAAACCAGAGCAGCTGCAGCCTTCTTCCCCCCTCTTTTAGGTCTGCATCCCTTTGTTTTATCAACCTTCAAGAGCCACGATCCTGTTGATTTCCAGTCACAGCCTTCAGGTAAAAGATCTCTTGAGAAATTATTCCCTAGTCTTACTTTTGTGCCCTATTAGGCAATAAAAAGGACGTGTAAATTAAAAGTGATTAACAAGGAAAGCGTATGCACAAATTACATACTGCTTTTAATATCAAACTTGCCTTGTTAAGTGCAATTACTGTGTGGTCGTTAACCTCATATA